TCAAGCACATTATTCTATAGACAGATCAATATAATTTGTCTGATAAATTTCCTGATCAAATTTTAGATAAAAAAGAACTCCAAAAGTTCTTAGGATGTCTGAATTATGTTATTGATTTTTATCAAGACCTCGCCATCGATGCGAAGCCTCTCCATGATAGATTAAAAAAGAATCCACCACCATGGACAGATATGCATACTCAAGCAGTACAATTAATCCCGCAATGAGAAACGCCCTCTGGAAATAATACCTTTTGAAGGTGAAAATCCGTCTTTCGCCACCCTTTCGCCACCCTTTCACCTTCCATTTCTCCTATCCACCAAATAACTTATCCGGAAGCTAATACGTCCACTTCAGCCTATACTCCAGCCCAATCTAGGCCGACCCAAAGGTCTAATATTCCTCGGTCTGCATTCATTGAAAGAGCCTATCTCATGGACATTACAATAGAGGACTACCATACCAGTATGGATCCCATCAAACTTGCCCCCTTATATCTTATAAACGATTTGAACCCTACCAATGGGGTAAAAACTCGTGAATACTATGAGGCCATTCTTATGGAGACAGGATCCATCTCTGTTGTCCATTACTACCAACAAAATACAAGAGTCATTGCATACTCCAAAATGCAAATCAAGAAGTTGCTTTCTTATGAGGAGTGGGGTTGCAATCCCACTCAGGGAAAAAAATTAAACAATACTGATTTTTCGTATAAATATTATAAATATGCCGAGTACATAGAAGCCTGGCATAAAGTATTTTACTATCAAAACCCAAATAATACTCATAGCTGGTATATTCAATTTCGGTTACCAATTTTCGAAAGATTCCCAACATGGTTTAAAAACTGGTTTTTAGTATGGGGATCAACTACTGCAATTTTACTTCCTGCTTTTCAAAAAGCGTAGGAACAGTTCTCTCTCTTCAATAATATTGATATTAGGAACAGTTCTCTCTCTTCAATAATATTGATATAAATACAGACCCTCACCTTTACTTTGTTGCACTATACCAACTCCCATGGATTATGAAATGGGAATATTCAATCTTTGTCAATAATACTACCATACTTACATTCCACGTCTTGGAAAAACCATTTCAGTTAAATGGTGGGATATCTTCAATATGGATCCCACAACCATAGTATCCAAACGAATACCTCCACAAAAACCTATATATAATCTCAGTCCAAGTGGATATAATACTGCTAATACCTCTTTTGATTTCCCCACATACTTGAGAAATATGTTGCAAACAAATTCTAATGCTTCCAAAGAAACCCTTAAACAACAAATGAGGGAGATTTTTGCAGAAGCAGGAAGAAAGCCGGTCTCATCAGATGAGACCGTACAGTCATCACCAGCTCATACCAATAAATACTTTCTACTTGAATAAACTGATCCTGAAGAAGAAGAAGAAGATCCGGATGAATGCAGCCAAAGACCATGACTTGTTGCTGCCAAGATCTCACCAACAGACCACTCGCAAAAATACTATTCCAGGATGCCATCACTATTTCCACCGACATAAAATACAAGAGAGTTACTATTCCCAGATGCTGTTACTGTTCCCACCGACATAAACGTCAAGTCACCGACACTGTAGCCACAGGAAAAGGCAAAAGTTGCCGACACGTGACGACAAAAGGACCACTATTCTCAGATACCCTTTTTGTCCTTACCTCCGACCAAAGGAATCTGCTTTTCTTCTTTTTCTTTTACTTTTGTCTTATCATCCTACTTTATGTCTCGTCCCTTTTTTGCTTTATGCTTTATGTCTTGTCCCTTATCCCTTCCTTCGGGACTATGGCACCTCCTTTCTTTTATATAAGGTGCTCTCCTTCTCCAAACGAGCAAGGTCGCTCGGAGCTTCTCTCTAACTTCTTCGTGCTCTCTCTCTCTGAGCCTTTAGCTGTCTCTACTCTCTTCAACTCCAAGCTCCCTCTCTCCCTGCTCTCTTATTCTGAGCTTTCAGCTCCCTCTCACTCTGTTCACTCTACGCTCCATCATCACAGTTGTTGTTCTGACCTTACAGCCCATGCCTTTCAGGTCTCTGTCTCCAATCTTACTTCATTAAGACCCAGGTTCTATCTTCTCCTTTCTGAATATTTCTAATATGTGCGATTGCAATCTTTCTTCACTTCCCTCACACTGTTCTCAGCACTGGAAACTCTTTTTCAGTTATTGTATTCGCACCTTGTAAGTGTATTTTCTATAAGCGTGTGTTTATTTTCTGTACAAAGTGTGTAACAGCACTTTATATTTGCTTTCATACATGTCTATATAAATGTCTATAGAATACAATCCAAGTTATTAATAGATACAGTCTTGATGGTTTGATTATTATGCAATTTAAACTTGTGTTTAGCATAAAAATAAGAAATCATAACCACTTACAGTGGTTAGTAATAGATATATCAGTCATACCCTTCATCTGCATACTTCTATTCTGTTTGAACTATTATCGCATTTTACAAGAAATAGTCAAGTATAATAGCTTAATATTTACATACCTATTCTAAAAAATCATCGAAAGAATTCACTGTAGATCCTGGCCCCATTTATCTCTTATTTGAGGTATGAGATAGAAGGTTCTTTTTTCTTAGTGAGGTGTTGGTTACTAACTCTTTTCATAATAGAGGCAAAATTATATTCATCAGGTGTTTTACTAATAGGAGGTGTTTTTGCTTTTGTTTTAGCTAAATTGATAAATTTGGTGATTACAGATCTTTTTTCATCTAGATCTGTAGTTTTCTCTATGAGATCTAAGATTAAATTATCTTCTTGTGTGAGAGTATGAAGATTATGTGAGGGAATAGGACAAGTACAAGTAGATTCGTCCATTTGATGAGATGATTCTGTATCGGTAGAAGATTCTGAAGAGTCTGATGACTCTGTCCATATGAAATCATCATCATGAATATTTCTTATAAGGGTATTGGTAGAATCTGTTGTAGAGGAGGATGTGTCATAATTTATAATATTATATAATTTTGATTTTACTGACTCATCTAATTGTAAAGCATCAATTTTCTTTTTTACTTTACATTGGTGTATAATGTCCAATTTTTCCACATTTATAACATATTGGTAGTTTCTTTTTATGTTTAGTATTTGGAAAAAACTTTTTCATAAATTTTTGTTTAGACTTTTTATACTTGTTATGTATTTTGTCTGGTCTATATTTGTCTTTCTTATATTTTTTCTTTTTCTTATATAATCTTTCAGGTTTATTTTTTCTATCGAGATGATAGCCAAATTGTTCACAAAAATCACCAAGTTCTTTACGCTTGGTAATTTGCGATAATAGTTCAAACAAAATAGAAGTATGCAGATGAAGGGTATGACTGATATATCTATTACTAACCACTATGTGTGGTTATGATTTCCTATTTTTATGCTAAACACAAGTTTAAATTGCATAATAATCAAACCATCAAGACTGTATCTATTAATAACTTGGACTGTATTCAATAGACATTTATACAGACATGTATGAAAGCAAATATAAAGTGTTGTTACAGACTTTGTACAGAAAATAAACATACGCTTATAGAAAATACACTTACAAGGTGCGAATACAATAACTGGAAAAGAGTTTCCAGTGCTGAGGACAGTGTGAGGAAAGTGAAGAAAGATTGCAATCGTACATATTAGAAATATTCAGAAAGGATAAGATAGAACCTGGGTCTTAATGAAGTAAGATTGGAGACAGAGACCTGAAAGGCATGGGCTGTAAGGTCGGAACAACTGTGATGATGGAGCGTAGAGTGAACAAAGTGAGAGGGAGCTGAAAGCTCAGAATTAGAGAGCAGAGAGAGAGGGAGCTTGGAGTTGAAAAGAGTAGAGAGAGCTAAAGGCTCAGAGAGAGAGAGCGCGAAGAAGTTAGAGAGAAGCTCCGAGCGACCTTGCTCGTTTGAAGAAGGAGAGCACCTTATATAGAAGAAAGGAGGTGCCTTCGGCCCGAAGGAAGGGATAAGGGACAAGACATAAAGCATAAAGCACAAAAAGAACGAGACATAAAGTAGGATGATGAGACAAAAGTAGAAGAAAAGCAGATTCCTTTGGTCGGAGGTAAGGACAAAAAGGGTATCTGAGAATAGTGGTCCTTTTGTCGTCACGTGTCGGCAACTTTGTCTTTTCCTGTGGCTACAGTGTCGGTGACTTGTCGTTTATGTCTGTGGGAACAGTAACAACATCTGGGAATAGTAACTCTCTTGTATTTTATGTCAGTGGAAATAGTGAAGGCATCCTGGAATAGTATTTTTGTGAGTGGTATGTTGGTGAGATCTTGGCAGCAACAAGTCATGGTCTTTGGCTGCATTCATCCGGATCTTCTTCTTCTTCTTCAGGATCAGTTTCTTCAAGTGGAAAGTATTTATTGGTATGAGCTGGTGATGACTGTACGGTCTCATCTGATGAGACCGTCTTTCTTCCTGCTTCTGCAAAAATCTCCCTCATTTGTTGTTCAAGGGTTTCTTTGGAAGCATTAGGGTTTGTTTGCAACATATTTCTCAAGTATATGGGGAAATCAAAAGAGGTATTAGCAGTATTATATCCACTTGGACTGAGATTATATATAGGTTTTTGTGGAGGTATTCGTTTGGATACTATGGTTGTGGGATCCATATTGAAGATATCCCACCATTTAACTGAAATGGTTTTTCCAAGACGTGGAATGTAAGTATGGTCGGCAGTATTATTGACAAAGATTGAATATTCCCATTTCATAATCCATAGGAGTTGGTATAGTGCAACAAAGTAAAGGTGAGGGTCTATATTTATATCAATATTATTGAAGAGAGAGAACTGTTCCTACGCTTTTTGAAAAGCAGGAGGTAAAATTGCAGTAGTTGATCCCCATACTAAAAACCAATTTTTAAACCATGTTGGGAATCTTTCGAAAATTGGTAACCGAAATTGAATATACCAGCTATGAGTATTATTTGGGTTTTGATAGTAAAATACTTTATGCCAGGCTTCTATGTACTCGGCATATTTATAATATTTATACGAAAAATCAGTATTGTTTAATTTTTTTTCCCTGAGTGGGATTACAACCCCACTCCTCATAAGAAAGCAACTTCTTGATTTGCATTTTGGAGTATGCAATGACTCTTGCATTTTGTTGGTAGTAATGGACAACAGAGATGGACCCTGTCTCCATAAGAATGGCCTCATAGTATTCACGAGTTTTTACCCCATTGGTAGGGTTCAAATCGTTTATAAAATATAAAGGGGCAAGTTTGATGGGATCCATACTGGTATGGTGGTCCTCTATTGTAATGTCCATGAGATAGGCTCTTTCAATGAATGCAGACCGAGGAATATTAGACCTTTGGGTCGGCCTAGATTGGGCTGGAGTGGACGTATTAGCTTCCGAATAAGTTATTTGGTGGATAGGAGAAATGGAAGGTGAAAGGGTGGCGAAAGGCGGATTTTCATCAATTCCTGGTTCATATGGTCGACTGATACTATGTTTTTTCCTTTCCAAAAAAGCATTGGGATGTTCACTACAGATAGAGCTTTCAATCTGTTGTGATAGTTGTTGAATTTTTTGTAGTATCAGAAGATTTTGTAATTGTTCTTCGACATGTTTATATTTAATTTCTTGTTTAAAGTACAGAGAAATTTTTCTTTATTTTGTAATTGGCTTTTAACACCATTTATTTCTTTGAGTTTTGGTTTATGAATGAATTCAAAATGTATAGGGACATTTGATTATGTAGATGTTATACTTGTATGGTCTATGGATAATGGATATAATAATGTTACGAATGGGACTCCAAGGATAACTGCTTGACTGAGTCCTTTGACCATAATAAATGGTGTTTGGATACATTTGTGATTATTACAAACAAAAGCATTTGATAATTTATAGTTTATAAAGAGTTCTCTGCCATCAGCAGTATTTAGGATTTGTGTTGTTTTATCAAAATATTTTGTTGGTACCAATCCTTCATTGATACAATTTAGATCAGCACCTGAATCTATGAAGGCTGATGTTTGGAATCTATAATCTTCTGCAACTATGATAATTATTTGAACATACCATTTTTGTATAATATATATATATATATATATATTTGTATATAGATATTGATATATTGTAGTGATTCTTTCAATTTATTCAAGTATTTGGCTGGTTAATGAGCATATTGTTGCCTTGCAGACTGTATTTGACTTTAACCTCATCAAAGACCTGTTGCGATCAGATTTCAGGTACATGCTAACTCCATTTTTGGAAGAGGAAAAATTCTAAGAAAATTAACAGGCAAACGAATTGAATCCTGGTAATATGATCATTTCTGTGGACTGTCCAACATAGATTTGCTTCCTTTGATCTATGGATTACATGAAGCACCTTGATGGTTGTGTTAAGTCATACATTTGCAAAAAAAAAAAATCACTTTCTCACAAAACTTTTTTATTCTTTGTTATTTTTAAAGTAGCCACATCAAACTTTAGATAAGCATCTTTTCCATGTTCTACTCATCTGAATGTTTAGAGATATGTACTAAGAGGAGACGTCAAAAGAGATTGCAGCTTTAACTTTAAGCATCTTTTCCAAATACCATATCTTAATAATTAGAAAATGGGTTGTACTACTTTTTTTCCCCCTTATTTAACATGATTATAGTTTAATTAATGGAATGATTCAATCCCATATCCAACCTTCCAGGTTTATATTCGACGCAATGCATGCAGTTACTGGTGCTTATGCAAATCCAATCTTTGTCAAAAGGCTTGGTGCCGATCCGGTATGCCCTACATGTTCTTACACCCCAAATGTTTTCTGGTAAGATGAGCTATTTGGTGTGAGTGTGAGACTCGTTTCAATTACACTAAATCATGCAGGGTTCTATTATTAATGCTGTGCCTTCAGAAGATTTTGGACAGGGACATCCAGACCCCAATCTCACGTAAGATAATCAAAACCTCGTATAAAACTAATAAGTACCATGGAACAATTGTTTGGAGCAACTACTGACTGGTTGCATTAGAATGTAAAAGCCAAGTTTAAGATAAATTTTGGATTAGGTAAAATGGGGAAAATACTGGATAGCAAAACATACATTGACTTGCATTCGAAATAAACAAAAAACATTGATGAGGATAGAAAGTACTCCAATGTTCCTGATTCAAGCTCATAAGTGGTGGGCTTCAGTTGTTTTATTTTGTTTCATGTCAAATCCAGTCGTTAACTCAGACAAATAATTGTTAGGGCCAGGTCTGATCAAATTGGCTGCTTGATTGGGTTTTTGTAAACGGAATTTGGAAAGGTCCTCTGTTACATGTCCATTGACTGACTTTTGCCTTTGCCATTAAAACAGATATGCCAAGGAGCTGGTTGACATCATGTATGGAGAAAATGCACCAGATTTTGGAGCAGCAAGTGATGGTTAGATACAAGAATGTAAAACCTGAAACGTCTGTCTATTGTGCTCCTGTGGGAGCAAAATATACACTTGCTCCATCAGGCAAAAGACGCACTTTGGTGAATTTTTATGATCTGCAATTTTGGGATCGACTTTCAAATCACTAGATGATAATTTTCCCAAAAAAAAGAAAAAAAAAGGATTCGGAGTTCCTAAACACCTAGATCTGGCTGTCCAAAAATTGGTCGGTCATTGTTTAATTCTAAGACATGATTTTTTTTCCAGGCTGCATATTCTTTTAATTATTTATTTTTTATAATTATTATTATTTTGAGTTTGATCACTCGGCTGCGTAGGTCCTGTCCCCAAAATTTCGGTCCTAAAAATTATCTTAGCTAGGGCTTTGTCCAAGGGAGCAATTGCCCTGCAGGAGCATATAAGTCTTCAAGCTCTGAAGGATGATTTTAAGATTTCAAATTGTAGTATCATGGACATGTTCAAAATATCTTCTCTTTGATATGATGGCATGCATTTCTATTGTAATTCAGGAGACGGCGATAGGAATATGATTCTTGGAAAAGGCTTTTTTGTCACTCCTTCAGATTCTGTGGCTATTATTGCGGCCAATGCACAAGCAGCAATCCCGTACTTCAAGAATGGGCCAAAGGTATGCCTAGTTATTATGTCAATTGTATTTTTCATTCCTTTTTTTTTGACAATGTATTTTTCATTCCTTTGCAAGGCAAGAATTATAATTTATTTTCTTTTTTAATATATATCTACCTTCTCCATCATAGGGTCTAGCAAGGTCTATGCCAACAAGTGGGGCCCTTGATCTCGTCGCTGACAAGCTAAACCTTCCCTTTTTCGAGGTTAGTATCTTGCGAGTTATATGCCAATAAGTTGAAGCCTTGATTGTGTTGTTAACATACAAAATTCATTCTATCTTGCCTGGCTATAACATCATGAGAATGGCTTTCTGACCAAAGGTGTTCTTTACATGTAGGTTCCCACTGGATGGAAATTTTTTGGGAATCTTATGGATGCTGGAAAATTATCAATTTGTGGAGAAGAAAGCTTTGGAACTGGCTCTGACCATATCCGTGAGAAGGATGGCATATGGTATGCTACTATAGGAAATGAAATAGGTCAAAATAAGTGGGATCTTGGTCCACCGACTAGGCTGAAACAGTTTAACTGTATAGCATTTTAATTCACATTTTGGTTTAGTTTGGATTGGCAAATCCTTATATGGCGGCGGGCCATCTCAAATCAAAATTGATCCGAATTGTTAACAAAATGACCTCTCTGCTGGACTAGCCTGCCACTGCATGATAGTTGAACTGAAAGCATAGAACCAAAAAAGTTAATGAAGAATGGAAGAGGAGGTTAATTCTCTTCTCTATTGAAACATCAACATTTGATGAAAATATTCTGCTAGTTTTTAAAATGTGGCTTTGAGATTTCTTCTTTTATTTTTATTTCTGAGGGAGACATTAATCTGATCGACTCCATTCTAATTTTGCACCCCAACTAGACTAAGTCTGGCTGCCTCTTTACCACTGAAACATGAGCAGGGCTTTGCCTCCCTATCACTAGTATTCCTCATTATGTTTGCGTGTAGTAAAACTGACTGCCAAAATAAATTCTTCTTTATTTATTTAAAAAATATTTTGCTACAGTGCATAGCATGCTGACCCTGATGTAATCACAGGGCTGTATTGGCTTGGCTTTCTATCATTGCTTACCGGAACAAGGATAAGAAAGTTGCGGAGAAATTGATTTCAGTTGAAGATGTGGTGAAAGAACATTGGGCAACCTATGGCAGAAACTTCTTCTCTAGATATGACTACGAGGTGAGGTAGTCTTGCTCTAGATGGTTCAATCCTAGTGATTTTCCATGTTCTTGAGCCTAACATTTACTATTCTATCACAACTCGCAAGGAATGTGAATCTGAAGGAGCCAACAAAATGGTAGATTACCTTCGAGATTTAATCTCAAAGAGCAAATCAGGTGACAAGTATGGTATGACACTGCACTTCTTTAGGCCTCTGTTGCATCGGTTCCATTCTCAATATGATGAATTTATGTAGCTTAATCATGCATAAATTTCTTGCGACTCAATATTATTGCTGATACAGGAAGCTATACCCTTCAGTTTGCAGATGATTTCATGTACACGGATCCGGTAAGTGGACCAACCCTATTCAGTTTTATTAAGGTCAACCATAATCCAATCTAGTATGGCCATGGCCCTGGCCCACTAAAATGCAACCATATTCTGCTTATACTTACAGAAGGTCGAGATTAACCATAAGTGTGGGCCATGGGTACATTCAATGTGGTACACAGTTTATCCCAAACATTTATCATTTGGAACGAATGGTAGATGCTCCTTTGGGTTCTCATATACCATACTTTGGAATGTCATATACCATATTCTATAGGGTCATAGTATACTTTTTCTTCCGTTTGTTGTTTAGCCATACTATCCCCAGCTCACATTGTCCTGGCTGAGCAGGTGGATGGCAGTGTGGCATCCAAGCAAGGTGTTCGATTTGTTTTCACAGATGGGTCAAGGATAATATTTCGTTTATCGGTATGATTCCACCCCTACTGTTCTTGGTGCCACTAAGTTATGCATGAAATAGTTTTGTTTTTTGTCATGTATTTTTTTGCAGTCTTGGTTAGTACTACTAAAGTTATGCATGGAATGTTTCTGACATATCATTCCTTTTTCTTCATTAATTACTATTTTCACCGTCATCTTGTCAATTTCTTCATAAACAAGATGCTTTATTTTATTTATTATTTGTTTGTTATATTTTGTAGGGGACTGGTTCCGCCGGTGCAACAATTAGAATTTACATCGAACAGTTTGAACCAGATGTTTCTAAGCATGATATGGATGCCCAAGAAGCCCTGAAGCCCTTAATAGGTTAACCTCTTCTTACAATAACTGATCAAAGCATTTTGCTTCAATTTTAATAGGGGAAGCTAGGATAGGAACCTGAAGACTAAATGCTTCACAGTCTACCGTTTTTCTGAATGAGCTGACTAACGAATGGTTTTCTTTTGTTTAGATGTGGCACTATCAGTTTCAAAGTTGAAGGACTTCGCCGGTCGCGAAAAGCCAACAGTCATCACATAACTTATTATTGCTTAATTTTTTGTTCCTAAATCATTATAATAAATCCCTTTGTAAAGTTCCGGGAAAGTATTTATCTCAATATTACTCATTTTTTAACTTTCATATGAGTCATTTGGCATGCCTCGTAACGTTTGATGGGTGTAGAGAATCTCTAAATTAGCATCATCTCAATTCCAATCTCAGCTTTGCCCACTTGCGCATATTGTATAAGAATGGATTGTTAACTAAGGTGTTCTCTTTTTCTCTATCCTTTTTTTTCCTTTGGAAACAAGGCTTTGTCAGTTGCTAATGGCCAATGATGGAGTTTTGTTTATTTCTATTAAGGATCCATGAATCAAATGATATTTTTGTTTCTTGTATCTCTTTTAATTATGACGGATTAGCTTGTGCAACATGTTTTCATAGATGCATTAGTATAAACATTCGTCTTCTACTAGGCTCCAGTCTACCTCATTCAACCCATGTAAGCAGAGAACGACAATTTTCATACCTGAAATATAAAATTTGTTGCAGCGATTACTTGTTCACATACGCTGATAAAAGAGCCTGAACTGTGAAAATTAGAATTGCATCTTAAGGTGCCCTTTACAAGCTTGGCACGGCCACAATATCTTTCTTGGTCAGATTAGCTTGTCTTCCATGGTACAGTAGCGGTGGCAACAGGTCGGACCAGGTCCAAGTCCAGGTACAGGACCTGAAAAAATGATATGGGACCTAGACCAGAAAATATAGTATGGGACTCGGACTCCATTGTACCTAAAAATTAAATTTATTAAATATATATGTATTGAATTATATTTAAATATATTTTATATATTGGATCCAAAAAATATTACCCAACTAGGACTCGAATAGTGGTCGGGTCCAAGATTTCAATCTTGACCAAACCCACTGGTCCAAGATTTGGATTTGGACCTGACCGTCGGATCCAATTTGTGAATCCATACACGGATCCGGATCGGATCAACCCCTTGGGTCCTTGGTCGAGTCCGAGCCCATTACCACCCCTAAATTGGTATTCCCCCCCCCCCAACACACACATACACACAAGAACGGAACTTAATGGAACTCAAAACCTCTTGTAGAGAGGTACATTGATGTGGGACAGCCTAACCAGCACGCCACTCACTACATGATTAATAAAGGTGACACTCATATTATGTATACATAAGTTTTTTTTTTTTTTTTTTTTAAAAAAGAATGAGCTGGACTCGGATGAGTTACACGGACTTGCCAGAGTAACTCGCCTCAGCCAATGAACATGTATATGAAAATTGTGGATGGATCAAGAACTGGATCAAAAATTTGTCCAGATATATAAAAACCAGGTCATTGGGAATAGAAAGAACCTGTTTGAGCTGGCCTGTTGAATTGGGAAACTTGTTCATTAACTTCCATTGTCTACCTTTTTTTGCAATGGATTTTGCTGACAGCTCCACCTTTGACTGGGAAATCAACTGGCATCTTTTCTAGTTGGACCTTATATTGTGGCTCTCAAAACACTAGAACCCATAGTATAATATTGCCAGGGTTTTAGAACCCGGGGATCCTGCTAAGTTTTTTTTCTATTTTTTAACTGGTTTCCCACAGATTCAGCCTATGTGGATCGGTATAGTGGGCAGGCACTTCCAAACCCAAATCTGTGCTTTAAAGCAGTAATTGAAATATGAATCCTTGAATCAGCAGTGACGACATTGCCAATGTTCATCACAGGAAAGTGGTTTTTTCACCGATTGAAGTAGAGTAGTGGTGTTCAATGGCATTGGCAAGGAAAGAGCCCCCTTTCAAGCAAGGAAAAAGGTTATATAAGGTACCTTAGAATATAGAAGTAAGGTGCACTTAAAATCCAGTAAAAAGTAGTGTAGATGGACATATCTATGAAAATTGAGGTTCAAACTTATTTATCATATGTTTCGGGATTTTTTGAACTTTTTATTTTTTTAACTCTTCTTGACCTGATCAGGACCTACCCAACTTGTCCCGAGTTACTTGGACTCAGCCCTGCCCAGGGCTAGGTTCGAGGGCAAAGTCATTTAGACCTCGATGTAATAAGGTCTAATGATCTAAAAATATGCAATTCTATATTTTATTATTAAAAAGAGGATGGACAGAATGAGACTTTCCAACTCAAGGGCCAACAGGCAGATAAGACACCATATTTAAAACAAACGACATGCTTGTTAATCATAAACAAACAACACAAATAAGACTCCTAGAGGAGATGCCCAAGAGAGAGATGGGAGGGGAGGGACGGACTTGCTGCAGTTGTTGGTTTAGATCATGTGGGGGGTGGAGAAAGAGTGTGGAGAGAGAAAGAGGTACATCATCTCTCTTCTCAATTTTTGCCATTGGCCTCAGCGGCGGCGGCCTTCTCCTGCGTCTTCCTGAAGAGCTTATACTGAATGTGCTGGGCAAAGGTGCGCGGCGGGAACTTGGCGGGCTCGGTCTCGCTCACCAACTCTTTGAGCGGCTGCAGCAGCTGCTCCTTCGGGGGCTCGCAAAACACCGCCCAGGAAATCCTGACCTTCTCCTTGTTCACCAGGCCCCTGTGAAGCCCACTCTGATACCTCCCATTGCTCAATATCTCCAATGAATCCCCAATGTGAACAATGAGAGCGCCAGGGATGCATTTTGCAGTCACCCATTTGCCCTTGTACCACAGCTGGAGTCCGGGGACCATGTTGTGGAGGAGGAGAGTTAGGGCGCTTATGTCAGTGTGGGCCTCTACGCCCAGGGCCAGGTCGGGTTGTGGGCATTTTGGGTAGTAGTTGATTTTCAGCTGCATGAGGAGGTCGTCGAGACCACCGAGCTCGCGGTCGAGGCGGTCTGGCTCCACGCCGAGGCCGACCGATAGGATGGCGAGGATGGTGGTCACCACCTTGCGCAGCTCCTTGCCATAGGCGTCGGTCACCTCCCTGTGTGTGTGAGAGATGATTTTAGTCATTTTTGCTAATGAAAGAGTAGGAGAATAGAAAACTCTCTTTTTCTCTCTAGAGAGACCACATTTCAAGAGGAAAGGAAAATGGTTTGACAGGGCTCGAGCCCTATCAAAATAAGTAAAGCTATTGCAATTCCTTTACATTCATTTTGGCTTGAAAGTTATGGTTGTGAAAAAAATTAGTATTTCAAGTGTATATTGTAACAAATTATTTAAATCGTTCATTTAACTTTAAAAATAAGTATCCATAGATCCGTAAGATCTGTACCATTTTTTAAGTTTTAAATTTTATTATCATTGTTGAAAATTGACTTTAAAGCCATCATAGATATTTTGGTTGTCGAAAGTGCTTTTGGGAGGATTTGAGCTGAGGCTTTATTTTATTTTCATTAAGCCTAAGCCTTATAGAAACTTCGTCCTTTTCAAAAGAGAAAGTGTTTTATGAGTGAGGTGCAAGAGCCTCCTGACTCTTCAATCGTCCATTTGGACGGTTGTGAAAACACGGGTCAAATTATATAGGAATGGTCAAAAAAACATTGCCAAAAGAACACATTTTAGAGTAAAAAAAAGAATCCATATTTTTTATCAATTTGGCTTTGATGATGAATATATCTTTAAAGTTAATTTTAGAGGGAACTGCAAGCGTACATTTGAGTCGTAGAAACCCCATCCTTTTCAAAATACTTACATTCATATTTAAAGAACTCTTTTTTGAAACAAAAAATATATTAGAAAAAATTTAATAACATAAAAGAAACCTCACAATATTTTCATGAGATCAAACGCTCATTTATCTAACGCAACTTCACCGCTATGCAAAACAAAAAGAAAGAAGCAAAAGGAATAAAAGAACGAACCAATCTTATGGTCAAGGAACACGCTCAAGCATTAAAGTCGATATGTTATGTATAACCAAACTTACTAACTTTAAAGGTACGATTTGATAGGCATTGAAATACTCCGGTGAGAGTACTTTCATGTTAAAAGAACTCCATGTGATTAGGTTTGGGAGGTTTTTTTTTTTTTTTTTTTGCACAAATTGGTCGAATGTATTTTTCAGACCAATTGACAGCATTTAACATGAAAAAACTCCTACACCAAATCATAAAATGGAGTTTTTTCGTATGAAAATACTTTCACATGTACCAAATATACCTTAAAAAAAATGAAAAACATAGAAATAGCAATGAAAAAATGAGTGAAGAGAAGCTTACACATAGTCGGTTGGGTTCTTGGGCCAAATAGACATGTTTCTCTTGCTCTCAGGATAAAGCAAGTGGAAAAAATAGTCCTCCCACTCAAGCTGCCCACTCTTATTGTTGGCTAGTTTGCTCCCATAGCCATCAATTTTACCAGAGGCTTGATCATTGGCATACAATTCCTTTTCTTCAATGGGGAGGTCAAAGAAGGTCTTACCAGCTGCCTTGAGCTTCTCTATGAACTCCTCAGGGATGCCATGGTTGAGCACTTGCATCACTCCCCACTCTCTTGCAGCCTCACTTATTTCTCTCTCAACCTTTTCTCTCTCTTCATTGTTTCCACACCACAAACCCTTCATGTCAATTACAGGGATTTGAGGACCTTCCACCGCTTTTTCCAACTTGAACACATCACACATGCTCTCTCTCTCCTCCGCCGGCCTCACATACTCCATCGGGATCGCCAGGAGGCCGCTGCTCGCCAGGCTTTCGACTCTCGATGCTGCCATCTCTCTCTCTCTCTCTCTCTCTCTCTCTAGATTGCAGGGTCTGCCTCTTAATGTACTCTAGATTACAAACTCTCTGTCTCTCTAAGTGCTACACAATCTCGTGATTTCTTCATTTGGGATACAACACATGCACGGGAAGTGGTTATATAGAGTGGGGTAGTTGTTCTTCCTACTCACGTGATACAGTCTTCAGCTACCTCTTCTCTCATTTTTTTTTTTTTTTCTTGTTTCTTACGTTCACGGGAGCATACTGTTACTCTACTACCTCGCTCAAAACACTTATATAAATAAATTCTTTAAATCTAAAATATTTTCAGAACCATATAAAAAATACTAGATGATTATTTTTAAAATAAAAAATTTCGAATTTTGAGTTTTGTATACATGAAAATTGGATGGACACTGTTCAATCTTGAAGGATATTTTTTTTTTTCTTTTTCCATTACATAAGTTCGTTTTAGAATATTATTTTTTTTTTCTCCTTATTCTATGGATGGTAAAGATTACATCTCAAAATTTGTGACCAAAAAAATCCCTCGCATGTGTTTTGCCTGAGAGATCCAAAAAAAATCCGTACTTTTTGCTTTATTTTGAGAGTTGGACTGGCCGTTAGCTCGTGAGTAGGAGGGAGGGGTCCTATCTACCTTGTTTTTGGGACGAAAACCGGGTGCTTATAGACCACCGGCGTGCCACCCACATTTGATTGCATTCTAGATGAGATACTTCCCTCTCTCTTTCTCTCTCTACATCCGTGCTATTGCTCAATCCCTTTATCTCTCTAGACCCAAGTTTTATTGCTCTCTCTAGAGAGACTAGAACTTCCACCTAAGCCAGAACGGTCTCCAAGCCTCCGGGTTAAGGGTCGGGTTCAGGATAGGTGTATTGGGCTTGAACAGTTGTCAGGCCTGCCTGGGACTTTCGAGGTTGGCTAGGTAGTTTACCCGGTTTGCTTTTACAACCATTAAGAGTGTATTCTTTATGCTTTTAATACCATATCCCCTATTTAATGGACACCTCTTTGGCGATGAAGAATTGTTGTTCAGCTCACATTGAGGTGATAAAGATTTGCACTAATAAAAACCATAAAATTTCATGAAACATAAAGGTATATGATGGATCTTTTTCAGTAGTAAATGGAATTCTTCCATTCTATATTTTGGTATTGGAAAATCATCTAGTTTGTTCTAGTTTATGATTTAAATGAGTCGTACATATACCAAATACATGTTCCTCTAAGTTCAGGGAATTCTCTAAGTTGAGGGAATTCTCGGGAGAGTTTACTCAACCGAGCCGAAGTACCATTCACCCAATGAAACTAAGAATTATCTTTACTGAGCCAACCGGCCCTTCTCCTGTACCAACATACTTCGTTCCCCGGTCCGATACGAATTCAATTTATTACCTTTCTCTATTGGCTCCATTATGGCCATGTCAAGTAGACAAAACAAACTGGCTAGTGTCCTCAAAGAAAAGGTCGTCTAAGAATTCTACATTCCTAGGTTAACAGTCCCTTACAGGTCCCATGGCGTGGGGACATGCTTAAGGATTCTATTGTGTTTAGGCTCCTCCTTGCTATTTGACCGTATACAATATTCTTAAGTTAACAGGCCCTTTAGGGCTGCCACCAGGCCAGGCCCACGCTGGCCCAAACTTTTTTT